GGGATCTGGGTATCGTCTATGAATGACCCAGACCCCACCATCTCATGATTGTATGTGTGTGGAGTGATGCCATGTAGGTCAGTCTATGTGAGTCAGTCTATGTGAGTCAGTTCGTTTATCAGACTTCCGCTGCATACATGCTCATCCTATATTGGTTGATCTTTGGTTCTGCCCATACTCCTCGAAGTATGCAACACATATTGAGAGAAGAGTACAGGTTAGTTTTCTATAATATTAGAAAAAAAGAATGTGAATAGCCACTACCTACCTATATACCTCTGCTAAGCTAGGGGACGCTGGGGTTATGGGCTGGAAACTTGGATTGCCGGCCTCCAGATTTTCGCTTCAGCATATCCCGGATGCTGTTCTATGAGGGGAACAGTACCCAAGCTCCTAACAGCTGGCACGAGCCAAAGTGGACACACACTTCCACAGCCAGGCAGGAGGGACAAGCCGACTTTCTCGGTTGGTGAATCCGAAGAATATACCACACAGGGGTTCACGGGGAATCGAATGGATGCCGTGGGGAATCGAAACCCACGACCTCCTGTATACCACTTTCATGTTCAACCAACCGAGCTAGGTCGCTTGGCCGCTATTCACATTCTTTTTTTTTTCTTTTTTTTTTCCCAATTTCTTAATGATCTCAGCACCGAGTGTCAGCAACACACGGACCAATTGCAGTTCATCACCTCCCGCTGGCTACTCACATTCAGATGACTCAGTGGTGTTTCTTGACCTACAATTTTTTTTTCTTTCTTTTCTGTTGGCCATAACTTAATGGAATCAATGATTCCAACCTATTGGTGGGGAGAATGGGCTGCATTTAGCCAACATGTGTGTTTACAGTCACTCCACGTGTTCCATTTCCCTCGACAGAACCGAAGAGCGCTGAAGCTGCAGGAAATCGCCAACTGAGATTGTAAGTTTTTCTTCCAGACTCCGCTTTCCAGCTTTTCATCTCATTGATTGACCATATGACATATGTACATTATACATAAATGTACTCCCTCTCTGTTGCTTTTTAAAGAAGTTTCTAACAAAAGGTTATAAAATAAAAAAAATATATATATATGTGTGTAATACTAAATATTGTATATTGACATGCCATTTGTCGCGAGTGTTTGGTGTGGATGCTCAATGCCAGCCGTTGTGGCAGTTGTTGTGCTGAGAATGCTCAGGGAGGTCTTCCATATCCTCATCCATCTCATGTTTTGCAATGTATGTCCTCTCCGTCAGCAAGGACAGGCTAATTCTTCTTCTTTTTCTTCTCCTTCCTTCCTTTTTTTTTCTTTTTTCTTTTTGGTCAGGCCTGACTCTTGCCCTCATGACAATATATTATCATGACCTGCCTAATGTTTCTTAGTTCCATCGTTGCAGACGTTTCCCCAGTTTATGCTCACAGTTTGCGAAATTATTCAGAGAACAGAGTGAGAATCTCAGGGTGAAACGACCAGTACACCCAGGCCTGCAGGCGCTGCACTGCGTGTGACGAGCGCGGGGCTGAGAGAGAGCCGAGGGAGAGGAGAGAGAGAGGGAGAGAGTGAGAGCACACACACACACACACACTCACTCGACACGACTGAGGGTCGGACGAAGACACAGTGGCTAGGGCACAAAGTCGAAGTCTTGGATTCCGAATGCCGAAACAGCAAGTCACACTGAGTACGAGTACAGCAGCAGAAACTGGTATGAGACTGGTCCCCGTACTGTACGGGGAGCCGGTATAAGTACCGGTGACATGGTACCAGGGGCATTTCCGCAAAAAGCCCCGAGGACAGAACTGAAAAATGCGGTATTTGAAAGTGGCGCCCGAATTGCAGCATGGCGCCAGTTGTCCAAAATCCGACGGTACCAAAGGAGGGGTTTGGAAAAAAGGGTGCCAGGCCGAGAACGGGATGCAGCAGAAACAGCAAAAAGATAGACCAGGGATCGAGCCCTGGCGGAGTCCGTAACACTGCGGGTCAAGATTTTCCGAACAGCCAGCGGCGCATTTTTTTTCGCTTTTGGCTGGCGCTGCCAACAATTGTGATCCATTCACTGTAGCCCCGAGCCATTAAATTTTCGGTGTAGGCGACGAGCAGATATCTACAATGCTGGGGGGCCGCCGCGTGCTGGCGGTTGAAAACAGCAGGTCTTGCACCTAATTTACTTCAATCAACCTCATCATAGCAGGACA